ATTGTAGTTGGGTAAAATATTATATATATATATATATATATATATGAGAATTGAGTTAATTGAGGTATTGGTGAATTGTAGTTGGGTAAAATATTTTATATATATATATATATATATATATATATATATATATATATATATATTAAAGGAAAACCCGATTTTGCTTCTGAAAACACTCACAAAGATGTTCTTTCAAAACGGGTGAGTGTCATTGAATGACAAGGTTGACATTGTATAGTCACTATTGCATTAAATGTTTATTGTCCAACTTTAAAGTATGTCTTCTTCTTATTGGTTAATCCATGTATTATAGTAGTCTTCATTTCAACCTTTAAGTTTGATGTAGACACTCTCTTAACTTGCTCTATCATTCTGTATGTCGAGGGAATAATAAAGTAAGTAAAATACCAATATAATGGTGCTTATGTACTTACTTAAGCTGACATGTTAAATATGTTCTCATACCAATAAATGAAGTAAGAGAGTCGGTGAACCAAACTTGTTGGCCAAGTTTGTACTTCAAGTTTAGGCTTACCATTAGTAGTATTTGTCAGACTACTTATATTGTATTGATATTCTATTTGGCTGGATGACAAACCAATACGCTTTTGTGACGATATTGACCCCACTTCAACTAGTATTCGATTTTGTTAAAGACATTTTGCTCTTGGATCAATACAGATAGATACAGGACTTTTACAAGTAAAAATCATATCTTTTCGTTGCTTCTCTTTGCCTTCGCTCCACAAATTCTTCTTCAAAAGTCATCGGTATTTTGCCTTTGTCATTCTTTGGATGTTGTTGGTTCTCCCTCTTAGTGTTTGATCGGAATTGCTTGTGTTTTCTCCCCCTTTGCATTGGAATGCTTGACCACCACTCTTTCTATGTTGTTGAAGATGTATGTTTTCTCCCCCTCAACAACATAGGAAGATGGGATTTGACATGTTGAGTTGATGAGCGTTGAAGAAATGATCAGATGTGATCTTATGTTTGTTCAATTTTGATTATTCTCTTTCGATCTTCAAGAATGAAAGGGATCATAGTGGAATCTTAGGAAGGTTTATGAACAAGTGTGTACAGTAATGCGTTTTGAGCATATATTTTTGTGTGAAGTTGCTCAAAAGATGTGACAAGACAATGAACCAGACTAGATGCCATTTCTTTTTTAAGCTTATGGCTTTCTTCAAGTCTTTTATCTGATATGATCTGTGCTTGTTGCAAGTTGTATAATTGGTGTTTGATGTCAACAAGATGATCAAATGAGAGGAGGTTGTTGGATGAGTGACTGATGGTTGAACATCCATTTAAAGGAAAGGAGATGAGGAGGTTATGGTTTTTTCTTGATAGGAAGGAAAAGGTGTTGAGCTAGTGATAGCAGAAATCATATAGGTCCACAGAAGTGGCCACCTGTGTTGCCATAGTGGCGATACAAGTGCACACCGGACACTATGATCGCTGTAAGTAATAAAATGGTAAAATACATGGATCGTATCCACAAGGAATGGACTTTAGAGTTTCAAGTAGGAGGACGAGAATACTATGATTTCAATTAGAGAAAAAGAAAATATATTTGAGTGAGCTTGACTTTTAACCGTTAGTTTAAATAAAAGGGTATGTGTGTAAACATTTATAAGAGTCCCTTCTCTCGTAAGTGAATCCTCATAGAGAGTGGCCACATGTTCCCTCACAAAGTCACCATTTTTGTCAACTCAAGACTTGCCGATTTAACTAAGTCGACCTCTAAGGATCGTAGCCTCTACCAATATGGAAATAAATGCCTAAATTCTTTATGATACTAATATCGTTCGACATTTGAACCTTAGTTAAAATCATGCAAAAATCCGTATCCCTGCATGGTTATAAAAGACTCTCTCAAATTTTTCTTGCATCACTCAAGCCGTATTTTTGGATCCGCCCTTCTCTAGGTATAAGATTTAACATTAACACTTTCATCAATTTAGAGTTCTTAAATTGAAGTTGAGAGATGAGGGATGAAGATGGGTAAAATGACCAAACTTCTCTCACGTAAAGGGCGCTTGACTCACTTAATGGATCATGCTTTAATGGTGTTAGTGAGAGGGGCCAATTTAAGCTCCAAAACAAGATTTTTGGACCACTAATGTAATTTACGAATTGAAGGGATGAAAAATCGAAAACAAATATTCACAAGGGACCAAAAATATAATTCACTCTTTTTTAAATTAGAGTACATATAAAAAAAATCGTTATATTTATTTCAAAAAACTATTAAATTTATAAAATAACTTTTGCATTATATAACCATAAGTTTGAAAAAACAAAAAGAATAAAAAATAAATATCTTTTGGGTTGAATATTAAAATATATAAGTATAATATTAGAAATTAAGTACGGTTTACATGAGATTAATAGTTTTTAGATAAATATAATTTTTTTATTTAATATATACTTTATTTTTTAAAAAAGAGTTGATTTGTGATTGATATATAAATATTTTTTAAAAAGAAATTTTTAGAAAAACGTAAATCACAATTAATTTTAGAGTGAATTACACTTTTGATTTCTATAATTTTTCTAAAGATTGATTTGTCTTTCCTAACGGCTGCTAACTGCGACATTAACTTCAGAACCAGGAGTGTTATGAAATTGAAAAGTTAGGAACCATTAATGTAAATAGTTCGTTTTAAAAGTCTATCCAAATTTTAAGTAAACCAAAGGATCACCGGTGTAATTGACTCTTAAAAATTTAATCCTATTAAAATACTGATTTTTGCCCGTCTCTGAGACACATATCCGTCAAACGGATTTTTTGATTAACTGGATATTCAATCCGCTATGTGAGTCGACTAATTCCAGAACGACCACCTGCTTTGCAGATAGCCCGGAGTCACCGCATTTGAACCTCCATGATTTTTATTCCTCCTTAGATTTGAACCCGGGACCTCCAGATACTTTTGACCTTTGAAGCCAAACTCAAACGGATTTATAAATACAACGAACAGACCGATAATTCTCGATTACATTGCTTACAAACGTCCCGAAAATCAACGAACATAAAATACACTTCCTAAAACACTCTCTGTACCAAATTTTACGCCATTTGTCTTTAGATTTTGAATTATTATGCCTAAAAAGGAATGAAAAGTGACAGCAGACAAGAACCAGCCGACACATAAATCCTTAAAAAAAATGAAAATGCACCACATGAAAACTTTACATCCTGTGTTCTTTTTGCATATCAGCATTCAGCACTGTTTGCTTATAACATTTAATCATGCAAACAAAGCTTAAATTATGTCACCAAATACAAGATCATTGTGACATCCCTCCACCCAAATCTTTCTCTTTCTCCAAAACAGAGTTCATAAATGCAAACGGGCAGCAACTTTGTGTTCTAAATTAGAGATTTGATGCATTTTTTATGCAGGGACTACTTCGGGTTCTAGCGGTGGTGGGGCCCCATTATCTTCAGCGGCACCAGCACCACCATCTTCAGCCTGTCCGGATTTTGCATCTTCCTCCTCGAACCCCATCTTGAATCTGTCATAATTTGTCATTTCGCTTGCTTTAAATGGGCGTTCACCCAAGACCTTTAGCAAATCGTCTTGGTGAAGGACTTCTTTTTGGAGCAAGAGTTCAGCGATCTGAGAGAGTTTTTCTTTGTGTTCTTCCACGAGTGCGACCGTGCGTTCGTAGGCCTTGTTTACCCATTCCCTGACTTCGGTGTCGATGATTGCGCCAGTTTTGCTGCTGTATGGTTTGGTCATCTCCATCCCATCCTCCCTTTGAGGGAATGAGAGGAGACCTACCTTCTCACTGAACCCATATACGGCAACTTGGGCGTATGTCATTTTTGTTACCTTCTCCAAGTCATTTTGTGCTCCGGTTGAAATCTTTCCGATTATGACCTGAAATCAAGAAATAATCTTTAACCACCACAAGTAGTCAAAATTGCATCAACGGTGATGCACTGCAGCCTTTGGCTAACCCAAACCAAATTAAACAAAACCAGACTGAACGAGCCTGGTATATCCCACACAGAGGTAGGGTATGAGAGTAGGATGTACGCATGCTCCGCTCCAAAGGGGTATAGAGGCAGTTTCTGTGAAGTATTGTGTCGAAAGGAAAAAAATTTACCTGTTCAGCAGCGCGCCCACCAAGTGTCATGCAAGTCATGTCAAAAAGCTGTTCCTTGGTCATGAGTAGGTTCTCACTCGGTACATACTGGGCAAAACCAAGTGCTGCTGTACCACGAGGAACAATTGTCACTTTCAACAAAGGTTCCGCGTGTTCCAAAAACCAGCCCACAACAGCATGGCCTGCTTCATGATAAGCTACAGTCCGGCGTTCGACCTTACTTATCACCTGTTTCAACAACAATGGTATTAGGTACGCATATTTAAGCAAATTTGATCATGGAGAAAGTAACTATCGCTTCGTGTTTACCTTGTTCTTCTTTTCTAACCCACCAATGATCCTATCTATGGCTCCCTCAAAATGTTCCATAGTGACCTTCGCCTGCTCACCCCTCGCAGCAATTAAGGCAGCTTCGTTGCAAACATTTGCTATATCAGCTCCAGCAAATCCTGGAGTTAAAGCAGCAAGTCTCTGGGAGAAATAGGATGGTTCATTATCAAGTTTGATTCTTTTCAAATAGATCTGGAATATCTGTTCACGGCCTTTGATATCAGGTTTATCTATACTAATTTGTCTATCAAACCTACCAGGCCTTAACAGAGCTTTGTCTAAAATATCGGGTCTATTAGTCCCAGCAAGAACCACCACCCCAGCAGTGGTGCCAAATCCATCCATTTCAACAAGCAGCTGGTTAAGAGTACTCTCTCGCTCATCATTAGAACCTGAGAATCCCCCACGTCCCCTTGCACGACCAATTGCATCAATCTCATCAATAAATATTATGCTAGGTGCACACTGCCTAGCCTCTTGGAACAAGTTTCTCACCCTTGATGGACCAACACCAACAAACATTTCCATAAAATCAGATCCAGATATCGAAAGAAAAGGCACACCAGATTCTCCTGCAGTTGCTTTAGCTAAAAGGGTTTTGCCTGTGCCCGGTGGCCCTACTAATAGAGCACCTTTTGGGATTTTAGCCCCCAGCTCCTCGTATTTCTTCGGGTTCTTAAGAAAGTGCACAAACTCCATGATTTCCTGCTTTGCTTCGTCACATCCAGCAACATCATTGAAAAAGACCTGGATAGAAGTATAGATTAAAACATGAACAATTATTTTTGTTTAGAGTACCTTGAGTGATTAATCATAGCAAAACTGTGTGGAAGCATAGCTTAACGACAAGTGGAAGATATTCTATATTATACAGAGATGAACAAAGCACCTTATTTTTCGCATTCTTATCAACTTTATTAATATGGGCCTTTCCAATGTTGAATATTCCACGGGCACCTTTTCCACCGCCACCTCCAACACCTAGACCGCCTTGCATTCTCCGACTCATGTACCATAGGGATCCCAGTAATAAGAGTGTGGGTGCAAATCGCATAATTTCTTGATACCAAACCATTTCAGAAGCATATGTCACAGGAACATAATCATGAGAATCTATCCCTAGTGCTTCCTGCGCTTCCTCCAATTTTTCCTCAAAAGATTCAACACTCCCGATATTGAAGTAGTATTTATACTGGCTTGTATTCAGTTTTGCAGGTGAATCGATTGAAGTTCCTTCAACAGAACCATCACTTGATTGATTGCGTGGTGAGTTTCTGACATATACTTTTGCAACTGATTTGTTAGAAATAACTATATGATCCACCAGGCCTGGTTCCAGAAGCTTGTTTTTGAATTCTTGGAAACTTATCTGCAAATAAAGCGAAAGGAAAATGATAGCAACATCAAGTAGTCTAAAAAGAATCATATACATGAAAGATATGTGAAAATTTCAAATCAGATAGAAGCAAAAAACTGAATCCAAGATTATGGTTACTTCCATATCGCATAGGAAAACAAAACTAGGTTGTGTGATTCCAAGAATATGAAAGAAGATTCTAGATATAGAAGTTTCAAACGAAGGAAATTAACATTGTACCAGAGCAAATAAACAACATTGACCGCCAGAATAATAATACCATCCCTTGGAGCAAAAAGATAACAATACTAAAGGATAAACACGATGGCTGGACTAATCATTGGTTAGATTCTGAAGCACATTTAGTGTCAACAGAAGTTACTTAAACCTGCCTCAACAAGTTTGGACTTATAGTTGTGTAGTTACATGCAGTTCGGATACATAACTTGCAATAGGAAACATATAGAATTATAATGTATAGCCACAGCTTTCATAAAGGTTTCTGGAAGAGTAAGGATTTCAACGAAGTCCTAGTACCTCATGAGATGAAATCCCAGGCAATACCCAAAGTCAGCTTTTGTCAAACATGGGAAATCATAGTTCACATACTCCTCATCAAATAATTCTGAAAGAACAGCTTTCAATTTATCAACCCCGAGATAACAAAACACAACTTCGAATGGGGTATAAAACCTAGGCCAGAAGTTATCATGTGAGAACAATGATTCATTCACTTCTTGCAGAAGTTGTTTGATCATACACTGCTAAACAGTGCGTCAGCAACAACCATAATCATAAATACTCTTTCCATGAGTCAATGGGTTGATGCAGACGACAACAACCAAGGAGAACTCAAAGTATATCTCAAATTGGTTCTACTTAGTAATTAAAGTGAAGTATCAACATAGCCTCAACACATTCCTACTAACAACTTCCTCTCGCCTAAAAGACTACGAAAAGGAGCATCATAAATGCACACAAATATATGAATTGATATTTCATGTAGATTCATTATGACCACCTTCAGGAAATGCTGGTGCTGGAAACCAAAGAAAATGAATGTGTTCACAACAATGGAAGGTTGACCAAAAGGACAATCACAGTTGCACCAAGGCTCCTTGGATTTGGGAGGTTTGGAAAGAAAGTCCCTAGAATTTTGCACAGAGGCAGTCTCGATGTTTTGAATCCATGACCTTCTACGACAATGAAGTAACCTTACCACTTGTTCCAAGACTCTCGCTCAAAAGGTTGATCAACCAGGGATAAAATTTAACATGATCTTGCATGAGCAATTCAGATCTCAAAGCTAAAGAGAAACAATAAAAAGCACTTTTAGCTATGATGAAGGGATAAGTAACTATGCTGTTAAATGTTAATTGAGGCGCTATTGCGCTGCAATAGCGGATTGCAGACTAAGATAAAATTGAGGTGGTCAAATTGCGTGAAAATTGCGTTTCCGATATTAGCGGCACAATTGACCTATATTTGAGGTGAAATTGCAGACTGATATTCCGATATTTTAGCTTGGGCCTCTTTAGAACTACGTTGACTCGGATGTTGAACCTATTGCTTGCGATTAGCTCGTTTATGAACACTTTTCCTATTTTGTTTTGTGAAACTTGTTTAAGTTGATGTTTTGATGTTGAAGCTATATTTTTAATTAATGCATTTGATATGTTGTATGCATATATATATATATATATATATATATATATTCTAAGAATATTATATGAATCGCTATTTTTGGACCACTATACCACCACTATTTCAAATATCAGTCCTGACTGCAATTTTGTATTTTCACCGCTATAACAGCATAGATAAGTAATGAACATAGTGCTATGGAAAACAATAGCCATAAGGAAAACTAAAGCTCCAAGGATGTAGCTTCTATCCAAGGTTAATATCTCTAGAACCCAGAGAGTTTTGTTAACTTAATATATCAACAACAAACACAATGGCATCTGACAGAGCAAAAAACAGCTCCCAACACCTGCTGCAAGAACTTGTTACGAATCAATAAACACTCTTATGGGTCTTGTTTCCAAATCAGAAGATCTTTGCTAGTTGAAGGTCCATTCCCTTCAAGTCTAGCATGTCCAGTTCCACATTTTATATGTTTCATACACATGCTTTTCTGGACTAGCAGCCTTTTCCATCTATGAATCTAAATCTCGGCTTACAGATATGATACTTTCCTCTCTTCACTTCACAGAAACTTGGAGGCTTGAGCGATGACCTTGGAAAGCATATAAACAACACATCCACCACAATCCAAGCAGCATGTGGTTTAGTGGCATTGGTAAACTGGGTGAGGAGACAACATGATGGAGGTTCCAAAGTGGAACAAAGATTCCTCAAGAGGTTAAAAAACTCCTTGTTTTATGATAACATCTCAAACGTCCAAATTACCTTAAATTTTATCTTTGATAAAACTTGCAGTGCATGTTGATAGACTTCGCAATTACCCATGTATTCCCACATGTAACCCTCTTATCCTAACGGACAATGCACCACCTTGTGAATTCAAATGCAACCGAAAGTTAATCGCACATGGAATCTCATATGTAGAAGATCTATTACGACTTAATTGGTGTTTAGTTGGCTGCACTCTAGCACTTACCTGATTGTGATAAACCTCCACTACATTACATTTTGTTTCCCATCCAAATCTTGGCTGAAGCATTAACGGAAGTCCTCCTAAGGAGAGAAAGGCATACTTGATATGGATTGTGAACAATGAAGGTGAGAAGGGGGAAGTCCTAATTCTAGAGAGCATTATATACCATATTTTTGCCAAAAACTATCACTAACACTGACCCCATTTCACAATAATGTTGTGTTTCTATTTTCCAATCTCAGTATGGAAATAACCATGTAATAAAAAAAAAGTACAATAAGGGTTCTTTCTTTATCATTGAAGATATCTAACTTTGGCACCTGTGAATTTTGAATAAAAAGACCATGAAAAGTAGTGTTCTGGGGATGCAATGCAGTGTCTAGTGTAGGCTAGCCACATGTATGGAAGTTGGAACCGATTCCAAAGAACACATCAATAGTAATACAAATGTGACATAAGATACAAATTTGACACTAATGAGCTCAACTGCATGTGATACTTGTATCTGTATATAAACATAATTCAGATGTTGCTTCCTTTGATCATAAAGCTCATTACATGATTAAATGAATTTCATCCTGAAAATTACTTTCCTAACTTTTCGTTGACAAAGCATGTTGGTGTTGAAAATCCATCTTAATTTTTCCTCAAAGTAACTATTAACCTTGTTTAGTACTTATTACGGACTCAATAAATGAGTGTCATCCGTCATGACATAAATTCTAAGCATCCATCTAAGCCAGTATAAACAGAGACTCGGCTGAACTACATTTAAGTTAAAATTTATCAAATTCATGGTGACGATCAGCTAAGCTAAAGTCCCATTAAAGAGTGTTCCAATCAATTCAACCTTTCATCTCAAACTAATTGCTAAAATTGGTACCAGAAATTATGAAAAGAGAAACCTCGTAGGGTTCCAAGACATATAAAACAGATTGCAATCAAACTCCAAGTTATCAGTCATTCAACCCAAGCAAGAAGTTAAATCAAGCCTCTAAATGTATTGATATTTGCTAACCTGTTTCTGTTCACGAGGACCAAAAGAGAGCGATGAAAAGAGCAACAGCCCAATCACTAGTAAAGGAATTGGTATTTGGAATTGGAATTGCTTTGGAAAGAAACTTCCATCGTCTTCTGTGCTTGATTCCTCTGCATATTGCACAAGTTATCAAGATGAGCTTCAAACATCATAGGCAAATTAATAACACCATTTTCTTACATGTGCTACTGAAATCACATAACACAAGCTGATGCTATTAAAACATAATTGCATTCAATACTTGGTAAGAGTTCTGGCATTAAAAGTTTTTATTTACAAATGCAAAAGAACCATATTCAAATGACCCTATCCCAGAGCAAACATGTCCTTTGGGGTAATGACAGTTTCTAGATGTTGCAACCTTATTGCAACCTCCACCTTAAGTTTGTGATCACAAAAGGTAACAACCAGTATAAGCTCAATATATCAACCTTTATGCTATAGGACATTGCTGCTGAAACTGTTAAATTTACTTAGAATAAACCGAAATTCCATCACAAGATAATACAAAAAGAAGCTGAAATTAACAGTAGAGCTACAGGTTACATTTAACCAATTTGTCATTTACAATGAGAACAATTCAAGGTAAAAGTTGTGCACTAACTGGACTTTGTCATTTACGGTAAAAGCAATACCTCTGAAATTTTGCCTCAATCAACAAGAGAAGCATCCACAACTCTTAATAAACATGATATTACTTCTGTATATGAATAAGAAATGGGAAATATACTCTAATATGCAATACAACATTTCTAAATATTACACATTTAAGAAATACATCCATGCCATGCCAAGAGGTGCAAATACATAAGTAGGTAGTCTAACATACCCAAGTAAAAGCACCCAATCAGAATTAAAAATCATTAACCAATTTTGCAAGCCTATTCATGCTAAGAGTAGTCTATTTCTGGCACACATTGTCCTCTAAACAAGAGAGACTAAAACTTACAGGCATCTAGCAACGAACACTACAAAGATGCAAAGACCAAAATAAGAACACATCCACATAGCATTAACAAGCTAACTGTTTCTTACTCAACACCCAATTTGGAACTTCCATATAAGTAGCATTTGATACTCAGAAATCAAGGTAACTAACCTTTAGATTCAGATTTCTGATTATTCCCCTTTGGAGTTTCCTTCTTTTCCTTGGGGTAGAAGTTCTCATAATCTGAAAAAGGATTGTGAAACACAGCAAGGTTAAGTGATATACACCAATATTGGCCACATATTAGATTGCTCAATGTTCAATTTGCTTTTATTAGGTAGGAACACAAATGCTTCTAGCAATCCAAAGACTATTTTTGTTAGATTCCCCTTCAACAAAATAAATAGGTGCCATAAGAAGTCCAAACTCAGGCATGGTACGAAGCTCAATTAACCCCTCATTCACTCCTCAGGGGCCGAAATTAGCATATTGACACGAGCGAGCTCAAACAGCCACCTAGCTTCAAACAGTAAAAGAACAGAACATGATACGAAGAAAGCTAATCTTACTCTTCTTCTTGGGAGCCTCGCTGGAAAAGAACCTTCGAAATTTAGGGTTTGCAAGAGCGAAATTTATATCCGATATATACACCTTGGATGATAAGACAGAACCATTTTTTTCATTGTTAGCTGCTAAAGAACCTAAATAACGCTTCAAAAACCCCAGGTTATCATCTGCCTGTCCAATATATCGAGATTGATATACCGAAGAACCGGTTAAAATCTGCGATCTTCCGCCATTTGCACCACTCAAAACATTCTACAAAATCACCCAACAATATTCAAAACAACAAGATCAGAAAGTCACATACTATTAAGAAAAAGAAAGCATCAACAGATTACATAGAAGAAAAGACTTACCCTTGAACGAGATGATCGAGAGATTGTCCGACCAAGTCTTGAAAACATCATAGTTTAAAAGAGAACGATGATAAATCGATTGAATCCGTCAACGAATTAACATATGATTCTTGGGTTTAATGTGTGTTTTGATAGAAAAGATGCAGAGGTTGTTTGACGATGATGATATTATGCCTATGAGGTGTTCGACGAAATACCAGATATTTGTTTGTTCTGGTTTAGGCCACGACTATCGACGGTAGATATATGGAAACATGAAACGCGGCTAAGGGAAAGTGTAGGTTTTTCGGAGTTATTGATTATCAGGATTATAATTTATTAATTCTATCTATTAAAACTTGGGTAGCAAGCTTTTTACGTCAACGATTAGATAACTATATATACTATCTTATAAAGCATTTGGTTAAAACTCTTAAAAACTTTTAAAATTCTTAAAGACAACCTCTAATGATTTCATTCCTATCTGATTTCATCCCTATCTTATTTCATCGCCAACAGAAACTCAATTCCCTCCCTAAACGATTTCATCTATATCCGATTTCATCGGTTCCATATTAGATTTCATCGGTTCCAGATTACGATTGAGATAATCGACTCCAACAGAATTTAGAGATGCGTATATATTTGACATATTTTCAATCCATTAGCGTCAATCCAGAATTAGAGAAGGTAATCTATTTCTTTTTTTCTTTAGCCAACTTCTTTGTTCAAGAACAGATTCAGAAAACCATAATTCGCACCATTGCAGAGAGATCTCATGCGGGCACAATTGAGGTATTCGTTCGTAATCGCAGCGAATGGAAAAGATTGCAGTTTACAGGTTCATATTCGTTTTCTATTCTTGTTTAATTTAATTTATGTAGTTTCTAATTGAACACAACAGATTGCATTTGGATGGATTTTGGATTGTTATCGTCGTTTACGTTGTTATATTTGGAAGTTTAGGGTTTGGCAGTATCTATGTCTATACTATATTATAAAGCATTTGACAAAACTCTTAAAAACCACTTTTATGTGTAAAGTACTGTTTATTAATGCATATTACTTAAAACTCAAGATTGCAAATAGATTGTGCATATGTACAACTTATTAAAGCTTCATATCTGAATTCGTGTAACTAACTACAGATAAACATAATCAAATACAGGATAAACATCTCCCATTTTAAATATAAAAAATCTAAAATATAATTAGGATCATAATTGAGTTTCAACAGAATACTTAATTATTATCTTTATAAAATGTTATATTATTAAACTAAAAATAAATTATTTCGTTATTAAACTTAAATTAAATTATAATAAAAAAATATAAGTTAAAGAAATTACATAAAAAATAAGAACTTTTAAATAATTGATTTGATATTAACATTAATATACTATTTTTTCAAATTTTTATGATATTTTTTAATTTATATTTTATTCAAAAATAAAATCATTATTGCTTTCTTAAAAACACATAAAATCGTATTATAACATCGACAGAGACAAATAATGAAATAAAACATTAAAATCGAGATGTGTCTCGCTGCATGCGCAAGTACTCTTTTAGTGTTAACTGTAATTGGAGTAATTCTTATTTTTCCAGAGGTATTTTTTTACATATATTAAATACTTGATTTTCTTGTTTTTCTCTGTTTATTTTAAAAAGATGATGAAACACAAAAAAATGAAAACTTATTCTGAAAACCATCACTTTCTGACAAGTGTCCATAGTGTCACCACAGTGGGAAGTTTACAAAATTTTGGACATGGTTCAATTTTTTGGAGATTGTTTTCTTGAAGATCTTTAAAAATATTTCCTGCCGTTAGAGTTGCCTTAAAAACTGAATTTTGGAATTTTAAAATAATGTTGGATGGATATGTACCCATAAGATATTTGAAAGCTCCAATTCCTTTGGGTAATAAGTTTTATTCTTATCCACTCATCTCCTATTTAAAGAAGCATTGAGTTCATTTGAAGATTATCCTTTTGAAGCACAACTCAGTTGAAGTCTCTCTTCTTTTTCTCATCAGTTGAAGTCTCTCTTCTTTTACCACTTTATTACTTGCAAGCGATCATAGTGTCGGCAGTACACGAACGATTCATAGTTACCGGTTACTTAAAGTAGCGTTTTGGGAGCTTAGGCATTGTTTGACAAACATAAAGTAGCTTATAAGCTAACTTGTGTTTTGAATACATGTTTTGACAAAAATAAACTGACTTATAAGTTATCTTATTGGAAAACTAGTTGGGCGTAGCTTATAAAGAGCTTTTTGCAACTTTTTTCGATTATACTCTTGATTAATATTAATTGTTATAATTAATGTTTTTTAATTTATTAATTAATTTTAATTGTTAGTTATTAATTAATTTAATTATTAATTAATTTGTTTATTAACTAGAAGGGTACTTGTGCAATACAGCGAGATCCATCTTGATTTTAATGTTTCACTTTATTCTTTATCTCATTTGATGTTATAATATGGTATTATGTGAATTTGAGAAAACGATAATATTTTTATTTTTGAATAAAATATAAATTTGAAGATATCATAAAAATTTGACAAAAATATATCGATATTAGTATCAAATTAATTATTTAAAATTTCTCATTTTTGTGTAATTTTTTTATTCAATTTTTTATTATAATTTAATTTAGGTACAATAACGAAGTAATTTATATTTGGTTTAGATAATAATTAATTATTTTGTTAGAACTCGATAATTATTCTAATTATATTTTATATTTTTTATATTTTAAAATAAAATTTTGTTCCTCTATTTGATTTGTTTATCCGCAGTTAGTTATACGAATTCAAACATCGAGCTTTAATAAGTTGTATTTATGCATAATTACTTGTAGTCCTGAATTTTAAGTAATATACATCAATATACAATACTTTATGCATAAAAAATAATTTTTAAGAGATTTTGTTAAATGCCTTATAATATAGTATAGATTTATA